TCGATCCGCCATTTTGGCGGGCAATTATAGGCAGACCAAGTGCACTTTTCCCTTTTTTTGCCAAGCAAAAATAACCGGAACTTTTTCGTCTCCATTTCGTGATTGAGACCCTAAAGCAAGATTTCATGCCAAATTTAGCCAAATCGAAGGAATGAAGTGGCTGACAAAAGTTCGAAAGTTACAGACTACCGCATTGAAGTGGCCAAAGCTAATTTCGTCGCTTGAAAGAGCTTCATTCATTCATTGTTTTCGAATAGATTCTCATTAAGCATGTTTAATATTCATTTTGAGCGCCAAAAGGTATGTCTCGATCGCTACAGACAGAAAAAAATCTTAAAAGTTTTAAAGCCTTGCAGCCGAATTCTACGGAAACTTTTCAGCAAAGTGAAACTGCACGCGTTATCTTATATACGCACGGCCACCTTGGTGGCTCATTAGGAATTAGATAGGACTTACGCGCACCCGCCTTACAACGTGGCCTAGACTTTGTTAGCGTAGTCTTGCAAAAGATAAAAGGTCATAAGCATTAAAAAAAATAAAGATAAACACTATCTTTTCTACAACATTCTTCGTGGGAACTACTTGATTTCGTAAATTTTAATTCCTATTAAAATAAAACAGAAGTTTTAAATTTTGTAACATTAAAGTAATCATTCGATTCCTTCTTCTTACATTTTAGACTGTTTATAACAATTTGTTGGTTAGTGATCCAATTTTTTCAAACAAAGGCGCATTGGTGGATGTTATCAACAAATTTCAATTCTTCTTTTAATTGAAATACCACTTGAATAAGGTTCTATCTAATTGGTCAAAGTTTTGCCGAAGTCAAGGTAAAAAAAAAAAAAACAAAAAAAACAGTGACCCTCGAGGGCAAACACCGACAAATTTCCTTTCTTATTTGAATTAAAATACCACTTGGATAAAGCACTATTTAATTAGCCAATGCTCTGCTGCAGTCAAGGTGTGAAAATAGAAACAGGGACCCTCGAGGGCAGTACACGTACACAAATGATTACATAATCAGATGATTTGGTTTTTGTTAAACTGAGTCGAAAACGTGACTTGGCTGAAGAAGGACTAACACTCGAAACGTTTCTGTAGAGTGGTTCTTGGGTTAAAATTACTTATCAACTCAGTTGATAAAAGCAAATATCAAATAGCTTAATTAAAGAAAGAGCCCTAATGAAGCCAGAGGTCCACTAACGGCAACGAATATTGCTGTTATTTACGTCCACGAAATTAGCTGCTCTTTAGCAGAGAAAACGAAAATGAAACCACGAACACATAGTGTGGTCGACCTGTGATGAGAGGAAGGCGGATAGGGAAAAAACTAGATACTGTGAACTCCTGAAAATTCAGTATTTTTCCCAAATTCTGTTGAGGTACCTTCTTGAAAGTTAACTGTATTTCCTTGATATTTCTTCAAACGATAATATGAAATTAACCTTTAAAACAAATGAAGAGTGTTTCTGCAATCTGGAGTCACAGTCCCGCACGTGGCAAAAAGTGATAATGGCAAACATATCACGTTGTAACTAGTCTCTACCATTGACTTTGCAGAGAGTTGTTTTCATTTAAATGCCGCAAGTACCAGAGTTGAGTAAATCGTTTTCACTGCTAAAGAGTAGCTAATTTCGTGGACGTAGTAGTAATATTCGTTGCTGTTAGTGGACCCCTTGCTTCATCAGGGCTCTTTCTTTAATTAAGCTAATTGATATTTACCGTTATCAACTGAGTTGATAATGTGAATTTTCACCCATGAGCCATTCTAAAGAAGACGTTTCGAGTGTTAGTCCTTCGTCAGCCAAGTCACGTTTTCAACTCAGTTTAACAAAAACCAAATCATCTGATTATGTAATCATTTGTGTACGTGTACTGCCCTCGAGGGTCCCTGTTTCTTTTTTCACACCTTGACTGCAGCAGAGCATTGGCTAATTAAATAGTGCTTTATCCAAGTGGTATTTTAATTTAAATAAGAAAGGAAATTTGTTTACAGCATCCATTAGAGCGTCTCTGCTTGACGAAATGGATTACTAACTAACAAATTGCATAGCCTATAAACAGTCTCAAATCTAATAAAAATGAATCGAATGATTACTTTTATGTTACAAGATTTGAAACCTCTTTCAAATTTTACTTAAGCTCGAAGTTTACGAAATCAGGTAGTTCCCACGAAGAATGTTGTAGAAAAGATAGCGTTTATCTTTATTTTTCATGCTTATAACCATTTATCTTAGTTTTGCACGTTAAACTAAAGTAACAAAGTATATGCTACGTTTTGATGCAGTGCGCGCATAAGTCCTATCTAATTCTAGTGAGCCACCGCGGTGCGTACATACATTGACGTGTGTAGTTTCACCTTGCGGAAAAGTTTCCGTAGAATTTGGCCGCGAGGCTTCAAAACTTTAGATATTGTTTTTCCGTCCGTAGCGATCGAGACACTTGGCGCCCAAAATGATTATTAGATATACTAAATGAGAATCTATTCGTAAACAATGAATGAATGAAGCTTTTTGGATACCTGGACGATATACGCCCAGTAAGCATGAACCAATTGTTAAATATCACATGACGGTTCACGTGGCATCATCATCAATGAACGTCTGTTTGTCCTATCCTACCTTTTAACATTAAGCCACCCTAACACTCCAGACAGTTCAGCATAGTCGGCGACTGAGTGAACTACAACAGACTATCTCAACTCGCGATCCAGTTTTGAAAATCAAGCGGTTTATCCTCAACATGTCTCTTTCAAAGTGGTTTAGTGAATTCTTGAAACTAAGCAAAGAGAGTCGAACTTACCCCGGCAACAAAGAATAAGGTAGAGTCATCTGGACGCAAATTGCGATGCCACACCCAAAACATGCTCTTCAGATGTAATAACTATACACTAAAATCAAGTAAAGCAATGATCCTCGCAGGTGAGCTGTAATTTGACTTGCAGAAAAGAAGCAGGAAAAATAGACTACAACAGGATTAAAACCTGCACCTCTCAGATACTAGTTGGGCGCTGCTACTAACCAACTAGGAATCCACACGTTAAGAGCAATGGAAACTTTTGAGAGTTTTTCCTTCCCGTGAAGAAATCCGAGCTTCATCTTGAATTCTATTTGACCTGCGGATGAAAATCAAGTAAAACAATGATCCCCCCAGGTGTGCCTTAATGTCTATGGATGTTCCAGCCTGTTCTCAAGGAGAATTGGCAATTGTTGAGGGCACAAAACTTAATCTTCAGTACTGGCCATTATCTATCGACTAAGGGAAGAAGTTGAAGTATTTTGGTTGATTCACGCAATATTCTTTTGACCCCTACATGAGCCCCCATCCCTCCGTCATTGGCGGTTAATTCCCAGTTAATTTTGTATAGCTCCCACTTTATACTTATGCATCTTATCAATGAAACTACGCCGGCACAATATTTTCATGGCACAAAAGAATGATAAACTGAACTTGATCGCGTTATTTCGCCATTTTGAAAAGTTATCGAAACAGATGCATGCCCGACAAACCACAGAAAGAAAAATGCCGTCGTAGTGTATCGCTATACCAGCATATTAACCTGTCTTCATATGTCAGATATGGCTCGTTTAATTAATTCTGCATATCCTCGAGCTTCTGACTCACCTCGAAGCTAAATTCAGTGCAGTGTTTGTTTCTGATGCAATGAGATATTGCAGCACAAGGAAATATTGTAACAGAGGGTCAAAGACTAAGACAATTATGCAGAGAGCCAAATGGTGTGAGGCTCATAAAAGACGGGAAATGGGCGTGCCGGTGCATTAATTTACTTCTTTTATCCCAAAAGTCCCCTGCTACGTTTTTTGTTCTAGTAAACTGTTAACTCAAAATAAATAAATCATATTCACATTTTAGCGGCATTTTTGCACTGAAATATTGTTATACAAAACTTTAATGTTACGCGCAACGCAAATTTATTCAGAGATACATCATATAATGCTTTTACACGCCCATTTCCCATTCATCACCGAGTGTGTTAATGTCTAACTTAAAACCAATACCTTTACCAAGAACAAAAATTTTATGGAAAACCCAGTAACTTAGAGAAGACCAAACTTTCAAAGAAAAAACGTATACCTCTACCAAGAAATATTGTTTCAAAAGTGCATACGGAACCATTTACTGCAGATCAAAATAACAGAATAGAGAAAAAGAGAATTGAAAAGAGTTATTGAATTAGATGATAGCGCCATAAACAATACTGTACAAACATACAAGGTCATTGATATTTATAAAGTAATAAATGAATCAACACATGCTAATGATGATTTAATTGATTTGATTAAAATAAATTTGACGAAAATGGTAATTTTAAGTTTAATAGCGCTGTTGATGTATCATTTTACTTATTAAGCAAAAAATCAAATAAATGATAAAAATTACATTTTTAGCCGATATAAGATAATTAACAATGATTCAGAGATATATGTAAAGAAATATCGGGTACATCAAACACTTTAAAAGCATAGAGTTTATGAATTTTTTATTACGGATTCTGGCTGGATTCTAATATCAATTAATCATCAGTTATTTGATTTATTGAATATGCACCAATCAAAAGAATTGAAAGAGGCTCCTTTTATATTGATTTACATATTGAACCCAAGAATCCAATGAAAGTTCTTATAAATATTAAAAATTATTACAAAAAGTGTTTGTACTATAATCATTTATACCATGTTTATAACAAAGAAATATGAACTGACCCCCAAAGACAAAGTAAATATAAAAAATATGGTGATAAACTTAATTACGCTGATATGACTTTTCCAGTAACGATAAGACAAATGAATAAAATAGAAAATAATAATAATATAAGAATTCATGCCTTTGGCTGCGAAAATAAAAGTGTTTCCTTGTTATATTTCAAAATGCTTCTTTTAAATTTATTAAGGCAATTCTTAAAAAAACAAGGCGTAAGCTATATCTTAATAGAAGAAGGCGTTTCTTTGCTTTTACTTATTCAGGTCATTCCAAAAGACATGAATATGAAATTTGAAATGAAGGGTAATGTCAACAGACATTACTTTGAGGTCGAAGGTGAAGGTAAAGGAAGACTTTACGAGTAAGTATCTCCTAAAAAGACCGACCACGATGGATAATTTCACTGCAATTTATTTTTCAACACGGAGTTGAATAAGATCACAGTCTTCAGATAAAGGCCTTATATCAAAGTATCAATCATTTGGGAAATAATAAAAAATGAGTAAAGACTTTTTTGAAAAGCAAAGTGAACATGATCAAAGATTCATAAAAAGATTTTAAATCGTAACCTATGATCTTGTTTTTATTCGAGTTTGTGAATTACCTACAGTCTATGACAACGACTTTTTCGTCTGCTTCCATAATCAGATGAGGTGTAAAGGCTACTGCAGAGCTCAGTCACAGCTAGATTCATTTGCGATACAAATTACCAACAGTCTCTGACATCGACTTCTTCATCCGCTTCCAGATTTCAAATCTCAGTCACAGGTATTTGCCATACTTTAATTTCTCACCACTTAACATGAAAGGTTATGCAGTATTTTACTTAAGTTTGAATTATCATGTGTATCAAATATTTGGTTCTTCCTAATTTTCGTGTATTTCAGGTCATACATGAGCCATTTCTGAATATAATTTCCAACACTCTTATCATCTTATTTTAGAGGACTACAGAAATCCACTTTTTGGGTAACTAAGGGAGGACCCCTTCCATTTTCCTTTGACCCACTGTCGACAGTGTTCAAATATGGAAACAGATGCTTTACTAAGTATCCTGCCGGCATGCCAGACTATTTCAAACAAGTATTTCCTGCTGGAATTTCCTTTGAGAGGACAGTTATATATGAGGATGGAGGAGTTGCCACAGCCAGTGGGCACTTTAGGTATAAAAGTGATGATTAGTATAGGATTGATATAATACTCATTAAAAGAAATCTTCAAGGTCATTTTTTACACGGAGAAGGTAGGGTCCTTTTTGAAAGTGTAACTTAGCTGTGATTCTCCCGAGAACGCTAACTGTCTAGCTACAGGGGAGCAACCTACAGAAACCGTATAGTGACCACAGAATATGCAAACTACTGCATTTTTATATAGACATTTGTGAGTAAATGGTTTTAGTTTGAAAAACGTCGCAGCGGAAATGACAAAATCTAAAAAAATGGCGCTAATATACTACAGAGCTCATTGTAATCTAGGTATGTGACACAGTTAAAAGGGTAATTTTACATATTTTTATTGATATCTCAAATTTTACAGTATTGAGAACAATTTATTTGAGCACATATCCATGTTTCATGGCGTTAACTTTCCCGCAAACGGACCATAATGGGAAAGAGGACAATTGGCTGGGACCCGTCCTCTCAGAAAATGACCGTCTCCAACAACATATTGAGAGGTGATGTGACTATGTTCCTACAACTCAAAGGAGGCGGTTATTACAGTTGCCAGTTTCACACTTCTTACAAGTACGTATTCTGTTTCTGTAACAGCTCCAACGTTGGAATATCATTCCTTTTGAGCATTTGGATCTCATCTTCTGTGTTTTACGGGATAAAAGCAACTGAAGAGAACGCTGAGATAAAAAGGGCCTTGAGATAACGGCTTTATACTAATTTCCCGTGTCAATAAAACTTTTGGGATCGAATAAGATTCTTCACAAGATGCTTAAGGTTATCTATTGTAATATCCTTTACAGCTTAAAATGTTTCCTTCCCTGCATTTCTTAGTAAAATATGTTCAGGGGATGGAAAAAACATCATTATTGACACAAGTAATTGCTGAACTTCACTGTACCAAAAACAAAGTTCAAAAGCATCGATGTTCATAAAACAAGTTAAAACCCAATGTTGATAGAGAACGTAAAACACATATCTTGTATTTTTATAAGTATTTTTTCCTTTGCACAGAACAATGGGGCGGTCACACTGTCTCCGAATCACGTCGTAGAACAGTGTGAGAACTGACATTGAAGACAGAAAGGTCCTGCTGGAAGAAACTGCTGTGGCTCATTTTAACCCTTTGTGACTGTGGTGGAAGTGTTTTTACCTTTTTACTTCTGACGTTATTGCTACACAAATCAGGTCAGTTGAAAAATTAAAATACAAATTTAAAAAACATTGATATGATGAACTGTGAAATGTCATCCTCTAGATTCGTAAAGCCATAAATACTCCCTTAGACTTAAAAATGGATACAAATAAGTTTTAGATCGGTTCAAAAGTTCAGTTTTTTCATGACTACCTTCACTTACTAATCATGCAAGTAGCTACTTGCAACTCTTTCCGAACAATTGTCCTTCTCCCTAACTAATGGGCATTGAGTGAGTCAATTGGTTATCATAATCAGACACTATAAAATTGTGACATGACTTTTGAGATATTGTGACTTTAGCACAAAAATAAACGTCTCAGAATCTACAGAGTGATTTACATTGACTGAAATTCCTGATTAAAGCAACTGATTTACATTTCTATTTTCGATTCGTGATGATAAATTTCAGAATATATCATTAATCCTATACTTTCCCTAGTCAGTTCCTATCACTATAATGCAAGTTTAAAGCGCATGGAAAGAGTTAAATACCCGTGAATATCCAAAATACCAAAGAGAAAATACTGAGGAAGCCAAATAGAAGCTCCTATTCCCCTTTTTTTTTTACATTCAGATCGTTTACGCAAAAAAAGCAACCGTTAGGAAGTGAAAACAAATGTAAACAAGATCGCTAAAAACGAATTTAAGACTGCTCAGAATGTAACTCAAATAGCACTTTTCCTTTGCATCTTTATTGGAATCCCCTAGATTAAAGGGTATATGCGAATTCGAAATGTGTACTGCAATTGGTTGGCGAAAAGAACGCTACACGAGTACATATCGAAGTGATTTTTGACCGGGCACTCCGCAAATAAGGAATTGGGGTATCAGGGGAAAGCAGTGCCACAAGAACAAGCGCTGGCTCTATCTTTTCCGCTACATGCGAGCACCTATGGGAGTGGAAATACAGTATAGGCAGCAATATTCCTTGCTTTTTCCGGGATCGGGTGTAAAAATCTCCTACTTCATTAGGGTCATTCAGCCGACCTCCACAGCACTTATCAAGTAGACTGAATGTTTCAGAAGTGAAGAGAACTTTTCGTCTTCTTTGGGCTAAACTTACATTGTCTCCTGCTTGCTAAAAGTTAAAAGATAATTCCTTAAATGTATTTTGATCCGACCGAGTGCATTTGAATGGGCTTGACCGCAAAACTGTTTCTTAATGAAATAGGCGGTCAACGATCTCATGTCATTTGAGGAAATAGTTGAAAATAACTGATCTGTTATTCTCCTCTTATTTTTCTCGGATCCGATTCAACACACACTGAATAATATTTCTACTTGGATCAACCGGAGGGTTCATTAGAGTACTAAAAATTAGTGCGGATAAGATAATGGCATTGGGCTTTTCAAAACTGTTTTGACGAAATAGTTATCAGTTCTGTCATTTTATTGCACAAAGTGTCAAAGCTACGCATCTTAAAATTCTTCCTTAGCTAAAAGAAAAAGAGAAAGGGAACAATTTCACGCTACTTGAAAAGATAGTTGAAAAAAACTGATTAATATTCTCTCCTTATTCATCTAGGTCTGTAACCAGATTTGATATAAGTTGAGGAAGATTTCTTCGGTGAAAAGAGTGATTTTCTATTACACATATTATTCAAACTGCGCACCATAAAACTTTGGTTACTCAAGAATAGTGAGAGCGATCGTTTATTTCAAGCTAAAAACTCGTAATATGTCGAGTTAAGTCGCCTGCTTTTATAAAAAACCGATTGAAGCATCGCAAAAAAAAGGCAGAGTTCATGTGACTCTCCACGCGAAAAAAGGGAATAAGGCACGCTAAGCGTCTTACCAATCCCATGGATATAGTCTGGACATGACTCTATTTCGACTTCCAGTGTTGACGTTGCCGTTCTCCCCAACAAGTACCGGACGTCATTTAGCTGCTTTTCCATTTGCGATCAAAACACCTGGGATTTGCGTAAATTGTGCACTTGTATACGAGATAATGCTATCTGGGATGATTTCAGAAGGCATTTCAGGATATACGAGATAATGCTATCTTTACGGGATGATTTCTGAGATTGAAAGACGATCATGAACAAGCGATCAAGATTTCAGGATAACCAAGAAATGTCGTCCCGGCGACGATTTGTTTTAACCACGGTGCTAAAAAAAATAAGAAAATGACAACTTACGATTTGACCAACTATATTTATGAACATTAACAGCGTCAGCAAAAGCGACTTACACGGTGTATGGAAACACGGCAGTTACATATTTATCTCTTATCACTGCGATTTCCTTTTAGATGAAAATCCCATATTACGAAATCTTTGAGGGCATTAGGCAGCCCACAAGAACAAAGCGAACTGTTACAAAGTGCTGTTTCCGGCTCATATAAGGAATGCACAGTTCCTTAACAGCTAATTGCTACATCGAAACGAGTCAGGTGGTCATCCATTCAGTAACTAGATGTACGACACAATGGTCTATATTATGTTTAGGGCATATCTCCTGCAGTTATCTAAAGATTTATATATCGTTAGCGTTCCTCTGGGAGAAATAGGAAAAGTAAGTCTGAAAAACGTCAAATTTTTAAACATAAAAAAAAAATAGCCTGTTTCAAATCCCGTAGTCTGCATATTCTCTTGTCATTATGCTTTTTGTGTAGTTTTGTTCTCCTGTAGTTAGACAGGAAGCGTTCTCGGGAGAATCACAACTCAGTTAAACATAAAAAAGGCCGCTCCCTGCTCCGTGTAAAAAATGTGACCTTGAAGTTTTCTTTTAAACGGTATGTCCTAAATCCCAAACTAAACATTACTTTTATACCTAATATGTCCACTGGCTGTGGCAACACCTCCATCCTCGAGTGTAAATGTCCTTTCATACGACATTCCAGCTGGAAATGCTTGCTTGAAATAGTCGGACATGTCGGCAGAGTATCTAGTGAAGCATCTGTTTCCATATTTGAACGCTGACGACAGTATGCCAAAGGAAAATGGGAGGGGTCCTCCCTTGGTGACTCAGAAAGTCGACCTCTGTATTCCTCTAAAATAAGATGATAACAGTGTTAAAAACTATTTTCAAAAACGGCTCATGTATCACCCGAAATACACAAAAATTAGGAGGACCAAATATTTTATGCTCATGATAATTAAAACGTAAGTAAAATACTGCATAACCTTTCATGTTAAGTGGTGAGAAATTAAAGTATTGCAAATGATTTTTGGCGTGACTGAGCTTTACTGTAGCCTTTACACCTCGCCTGTTTCTTGAAGCATATGAAGAAGTCGATGTCAAAGACCGTAGGTAATTTGCAAACTCGAATAAAAACAAGCCTATAGTTTATGACTGAAAATCTTTTTATGAATCTTGTTCACTTTGCTTTTCAAAAAAAGTTTGAATCTCTTTTTGATAATGTCAAAAAATCATTAATGCCGTGATATCAGACCTTGATTTGACGACAGCGGCATGATCTTATTCAACTCTGTGGCTAAAATAAATCGTAATGCATAGTAATGGGATAATTCCTTGTGGTCTGTCTTACACTTACTCATAAGGCAGTCCTTTCCCTTCTCCTTCGATCCCAAAGTAATCTCCATTGACACTTCCTTTCATTTCAAATTCATCTTCATGTCCTTTAGAATGACTTGAATAAGTAAAAAGGATAGAAACTATTATTTTCTACTGACACCAATATTTCAAAGACCTAAGCTGGCTTTTATTTTCCAGTGAATTATTTGCTCACTATCTATAGATAATTGATTTCTACTATTAAGATACAGCTTATGCCACATCAAATTAACACAATGCGCCTCCCACCATTTGGCTCTATATATAATTATCCTACTCTTTGACCTTCTTTTAAAATATTTCCATGGACTGCAATATTTCCTTGCATCAGAAACAAACACTGCACTGAATTTAGCTTCAAGGTGAGTTGGAAGCTTGAGGACATGCAGAATGAATTAAACGAGCCATAACTGACACATGAAGACAGGTTAATTAGCTCATATATCGACACACTTCAACGGCATTTTTCTGTCCGTGGTATGTGGGGCAAAATAAAGCGATCAAGTTCAGTCTATCACTGACTTTTGCCTAATAGAATTTTCTCCACATGGTGTAATTACTGAGGTGGACTCTTTACCTATTATCAGTACGTGGGAAAGGTGGAGGATTCTTCGGGGGGAGGGGGAGGGAGTACTACGTTGTTTTAAAGGGGAACGGAAGGGATCAGTCGTCACCAACAAAGTATAAAGGGGGAACTGTACAAAAGTGACTGCTGATTAATTACATTCACCCATAAAGCTGAACTTCACTCGACGGCGTGTTGTGAATCATATTGATGAAATATGGTCTGGTGATCTGGTTTACATGCAACAGTTCAGCAAATGAAGTAAAGTTGATCGATATCTTCTGTGGTGAGTCAGATATTAATGAGCTCTATTTTTATCGAGATTCTTCACAGCTCGTGTAGCCAGCTCACGAATGTTCTTGTGACTTCACAGATCCACTGAATTCGATTTCTCGTCGTTCTGGAACTTGTGGGAAGTTAAAATGAGCAACAGCTATTCAATGATGTTAATTTTGAATGTTTTCCTATTTGGGTTAGTTTATTTAGTAGGAGGGCCATGGAGAAATTTTCACCTATTTGAAATAGATATTAGCCTTCATCGTTTAAGTTGGTTTTTAACATCACGAAATATTGCACATGTTGAGAGCGTAGTGATTGAGCAGACAATATGGCATTCTTCACCAGTTGTAAGACACTCCTGAGTAATACAACAACCAATAAACATTCCAAAAATGAAAAGAAAGAAACCAGAGATAACGCTGTCGACCGCTGCTTTAGTAGAACAAGCTTGCCATGTAAGCATTTAGTTGGACAATTTCGCTCATTCATAACTGAAGCAAAGTCATATTA